CAGGCCCTTTGCAGAACGTCGCTCTCATCACAGTCTGCCTGTAAGAAACTCGGTCTCTTGCCAGTTCTCCCGCCTCATGAACTTTCACACTCAAGAAGTCACTTATATCCTGTGCCCATCTTCGTGTCGGTCGACCCCTGCCCCTTCCTTCCTGGTACCATGCCTTCTGCTAAATTTTTTTCCAATTCGTCGTGGCGCTTGATATGACCAAAATATTTCAGCTTTCGAGAAAGGATGCTGTTTATTAGCCAATCTTTCTTGATGTTCAGATTTTTTAAGATGTCAATATTTCTCACCTTCTTTGTCCAAGATATTCTGAGAATCTTTCTATAGCATTTCAGCTCAAAAGAGTTTCTTGGGATAGTAATGTGGTAGTTTCCCGTTGCTTTCCACATCCACATGGTTGAAGACTACGTCCTCAGCCTTCAGCAACCGTTTCGATTGCTAGGGCAAGTGAGTGTCCTGCTCTGTGATGCTCCTGCTAACAGCAGAGGGCACCCCAGAGATGTCCACTTATCCCGGCGGATACTCGGTCCCCATAGCTGCGTTGGCCACACAGCAAGGTGTTTACCGTCCTCTACCGCGTGGAGATGCAGTTGGGGTTTTCCCTTCACTGAGTCTTGAGACCAGAATGGCATTTCCCAAAACTCTCCAGTACTTTCAGAGGACTTGGACTACACAACTCAATTATAGTTGATTCCTTAGCCTTAAAGTTCCCTAACCACCCATTTGGCTTTATATCTAGTTTTTATTTTACAGAACTGATTTTTATGTTGTCTAGTGTGTCATTCTAACTTTCTACTTCTTTCTATAAGTGCCAATCAATACATTGTGTTTTTTATAAATATATACATATATACATACTATTTCTTTGGCCTCCAGGCCCCCCTCTGTTTACTTATGTGAATGACGTGTAACACAATGGAACCTACCAATCAAATCTCTTTCTTAAATGTTCGTGTATTCTAGACAAAGCATTACGGTCTACTGTGTTCGTAAATTGTTGCTGTGATTGTTATTCGACCTATGCTTGGTTAATATAAATTTCCTTAATAACCTACGGTGCCATTTCAATGGTTTGAAGTGATTTCTGTCTGTATTCCACAGTTGTGGATTTCAAGCTGTAAAATAGACGTGGCCAATAAAGACTTCTTTTTAGGAGTGCCTTGTTGGCCATGTTCTAAGCACACTTGTTTCCATAGCGAGGCGCACACGCCATTTGGAGGTAACAGGTTATATTCCCGGCACAGTAACTATTGCTTTCGAAATTTATGTTGTCTGGCTGTCCTTCGCTCTTTTTACTTCTTTCTACGAGTGCCAATCAATACATTCTTTTTTCTGAGTGATTTTTTTGAGCGAACTGAGTGATGGGAGATTTTGGAAACATCAACAGTTCTGGCGTTTCACCCTCAGTCTCCCGGGAGTTGTGGATCTGTAAATGTGTATCGGATAATCATCATCAAGTGCCTTGCCAGCTGGCGTAGGTGTTTAAGTATCTCCACAGATCTCGGTCTTTGGTGTTCAGGATCAATTCAGCTGATGATATTCCTCCATGCCACTGTATTGAGCCATCCACCATCTTTTCTCTTGGTCTGCCTCTTTTACCAGTGATCATTCCAGTCGTCACGATATTTCCAGTGCTCCTTTTCTTATAACATGACCAAAGAACTTTGTCGCCAGTTCATTTTTGTATATGATTTTCCACTTTCATAAACCATTTACAGACAATCGTGATTAGTTGTTCTGGGAGTCCAAGGTATTAGCAACATTCTTCTCAACAACCACATCTCAGTTGCCTCCAAACTCTTCTTAATTTGTTTGCTCACATTCCAAGATTCATTGCCATACAACAGAACAGACTCAGTAGAACATTTCAGTTCTCGTGTTCTGGAAAAGTTATCAAAATAATCACAATGCTACGCTGGACATTGAACTGATTTCCAAACAATTTACAAGCTTGTGTCGATTACTGTATATTCTAATTTTTAGGGGTACTATTATTAGTCAAACAGAGATCAAAGAAATTCGCCGCTTTAAGAAAACACCAGCAGCTGTGTAAGTGTGACTCCTAAAATCATAGGGACACAGGGAATCTGACAAATCGTGTTGATCCGTGCATCAGTTTTCCAGATATTTGTGAGGGCACGAATTCTGAGACGTACTCTCGACCCAATCTGAGCTCACAGGGGCGGTTACTGGCCTCTGTTTTCTCAGTCGCGACAAAGCCTCGTGTCTGTCACATTTGAAAATCTATCCCATAATTTTATATGTATTTAGATACTCATATGAATGTGATCCCCTCTCTATCTCTCTCTCTCTCTCTCTCTCTCTCTCTCTCTCTCTCTCTCTCTCTCTCTCTCTCTCTCTCTCTCTCTCTCTCTCTCTCTCTCTATCTATCTATCTATCTCTGTCTCTCTGTATCTATCTCTGCGTGTTTCTGACACTTAGGCCGACGTCATTAAACACACACAGTCAACACATAGATACACACGTACACACACACCTACACAATCAAGCCTGATTGTTGCCATAATTGCACAGTGACTCTCAAGTGGGATCGAACTCCTTCAAGCATCATGCAAGTATTGACTCCATCATCTGCTCATCAGCAACCTCTATGCCAACACCCCGGGGCCCAAGACTTGTTACACGCCCCAAGAGATCCCCACCAGAGACACCCCGCCCCCCCCCCCGTGCCGTGCCGTGCCGACCCTCCCTCGGGGACACAGATATGGCCTAGCCTCCGCTGAAAGTGATCCGGGATAATTGGCTGGTTGGCCGAGACCCCAGGGATACGAAGACGACCCCCACTCTGGGAGTAGAGTGACGCGGCGTGAAGGAGTGGAGAAGGTTCTGTCGACATCTGCAGTGTTGATGGCAGCAGGAAAGGCACGAGAGGCCGCACGGGTTAATGACTGAAGACACGAGGCCCAGACCAAGAGACAATCGAAGCAATCAATGAGTGATTATCGGCTCACTTTCAGCAAACGATCAGGCGAGACCGAACCGACACGATCACAGTAGATTGACTCAGTTGTTGATTGAGACAAATGTCTGGAGATTACAGGGCGGAAGATCACCACAAAGTGGTTTATGTCCAGCGAATGAAGAAACGGCTTCGTTTGTGGACAGTCTACAGAAATGACCTGCCTTTGATGGGAAACTGGTCAAGCAAATAGAGATGGATGGGCTGGTCGTCAGTAGGGTTTTAATTGTAGCAGTGTTTGGCAGTGTCATTCAGTGGCGGTTTGGTGTCCTGCAAAATCACAATCACAGTCACACACACAAAGGGGAAATCGTTTCGGTCATACGCTTTCATCAGCAAATGAGCACAACACAGTGTCGGACATAATACAGAAGTAATAACATTAAACAGCAATAACAGCAGTGTCTTTCTCACGCATAAACAGCAATAACAGCAGTGTCTTTCTCACGCATAAACAGGACAAAAATAATTGTCTGTCCCACACCAGCGAGTCAAACCCGTTCCCTTGTGACTGACCGCGCCTTAGAAGCGCCGACCACCTCCAGCATGTTCTGCCGTTGTTGCTGTGTGACTTGGGGCAAATGGGTCGGACAGATTAGTGAGGTTAACGGTAAGGGGAGGGGGGGGGGGGGGGGGTGGAGAGACGTAGGACAGATTGGTGGGTCAAGGATATCACCTAAATGGTGAATGCTGCAAAGTTCTCCTTTCTGGGTCAGCTCCGCTCTTTTGCACACTAGGTCACTTTTGACTGGTGATTGCTCAGGTTCGTAAACTTTGTTCAAGGTTACGGGGGTGTCCCTGTGTACTTTTCGCTCGAAAAGCTTTCTGCGTTGTCTTCCATTTATGTTTTTATTCCCAGAAAGAGAATGCGTGTGATGTAGGTTGCAGCGCTCTCAAAGCGGGTTTGTGTTAGGGCCACTTCTGCATGTTTTTTGGACCGTTGAAAGAGCAGAATTTGTTTCTCCATCTCTTGATTTTCTGTTTAGAATACGTGTTGATTTCTCGGTTCATTTCTCGAGATTAACAAGATCATTTTATGACTTTTTACTTTTTCTCCTCTTAATGCACTGTATAAAATAATCGCTCATGTTTCCTGTTCTTTTGACCAGCGTTTATAAAACTATTTGTCGCTTCGTTAGCTGCCTTCTGTGTGTCCTTTTGTGTGTTCCTCTGTGCGTCTTTCTATGTGTTCCTCTGTGTATCTTTTTGTGTGTCCTTTTGTGTGTTCCTCTGTGTGTCTTTCTATGTGTTCCTCTGTGTATCTTTTTGTGTGTCCTTCTGTGTGTTCCTCTGTGCGTCTTTCTATGTGTTCCCCTCTGTATCTTTTTGTGTGTCCTTTTGTGTGTTCCTCTGTGTGTCTTTCTATGTGTTCCTCTGTGTATTTTTGTGTGTGTCCTTCTGTGTGTTCCTCTGTGTGTCTTTCTATGTGTTCCTCTCTGTATCTTTTTGTGTGTCCTTCTGTGTGTTCCTCTGTGTGTCTTTCTATGTGTTCCTCTGTGTATCTTTTGTGTGTGTCCTTTTGTGTGTTCCTCTGTGTGTCTTTCTATGTGTTCCTCTGTGTATTTTTTTGTGTGTCCTTCTGTGTGTTCCTCTGTGTGTCTTTCTATGTGTTCCTCTCTGTATCTTTTTGTGTGTCCTTTTGTGTGTTCCTCTGTGTGTCTTTCTATGTGTTCCTCTCTGTATCTTTTTGTGTGTCCTTTTGTGTGTTCCTCTGTGTGTCTTTCTATGTGTTCCTCTGTGTATCTTTTTGTGTGTCCTTTTGTTTGTTCTCTGTGTATCTTTCTATGTGTTCCTCTGTGTATCTTTTGTGTGTGTCCTTCTATGTGAAGTTGACGTTTCCTCCTTTCGCCGTGTCCAGTGGACACTTACTGTAAACGTCTGCCTGCCAGGCACATGAAGTAGTCAAGATGACAGAATTACTAATACCAACATCAGCAACATCATAATCCAAAACCACCACCACAACCACAAACAGCAACAACAATAACAATAAACAATCATTCTCTGGTTGCAGGTCAAAGTCTGGTTCCAGAACCGACGAACGAAACACAAGAGGATGAAAGCTGAAGAGGACGGAGGGTCATCGGGGCCACAGGTCGAAGGTCATGATGGATGTGCCGAGAAAGGGAGAGACAGAAGTGACCTGGCTGTCTACGTGGACCATGAGGAGGAGGAGGACGAGGATGCTTGCACAGATGAGGAAGAGGAGGAGGAGGAGGAGTTGTCAGTGACGGAGGAGTGTTAGCTACAGTGATCATCTGTTGTTGTAGACTTGCCAGTACAGTTCCACTTCCACTAGCATGCTGGTGTATCTGCGTGAGCTCTACATACAGTACAGTTCCACTTCCACTAGCATCCTGGTGTGTCTGCGTGAGCTCTACATACAGTACAGTTCCACTTCCACTAGCATCCTGGTGTATCTGCGTTAGCTCTACATACAGTACAAACATGTCCCAGACCGAGGACAGCATGGAGGCTCCAATGGCGGGACTTTTCCCAACGTCAGCTGGTGGAACTCTTCTGTGTGCCCCGTGCAGCTTGTACCAGCCTGTGTTGTGGCTTGAACACAAGAGCAGTGAGTGTCTACAGCTAGACCAGTCTTCAATGTCTACAGCTAGACCAGTCTTCAATGTCTACAGCTAGACCAGTCTTCAATGTCTACAACTAGACCAGTCTTCAATGTCTACAACTAGACCAGTCTTCAATGTCTACAGCTAGACCAGTCTTCAATGTCTACAACTAGACCAGTCTTCAATGTCTACAACTAGACCAGTCTTCAGTGTCTACAAGTAGACCAGTCTTCAGTGTCTACAGCTAGACCAGTCTTCAATGTCTACAACTAGACCAGTCTTCAATGTCTACAGCTAGACCAGTCTTCAATGTCTACAGCTTGACCAGTCTTCAATGTCTACAACTAGACCAGTCTTCAATGTCTACAAGTAGACCAGTCTTTAGTGTCTACAAGTAGACCAGTCTTTAGTGTCTACAAGTAGACCAGTCTTTAATGTCTACAACTAGACCAGTCTTCAATGTCTACAACTAGACCAGTCTTCAGTGTCTACAACTAGACCAGTCTTCAATGTCTACAACTAGACCAGTCTTCAGTGTCTACAACTAGACCAGTCTTTAGTGTCTACAAGTAGACCAGTCTTTAGTGTCTACAACTAGACCAGTCTTTAGTGTCTACAAGTAGACCAGTCTTTAGTGTCTACAAGTAGACCAGTCTTTAGTGTCTACAACTAGACCAGTCTTTAGTGTCTACAAGTAGACCAGTCTTTAGTGTCTACAAGTAGACCAGTCTTTAGTGTCTACAACTAGACCAGTCTTTAGTGTCTACAAGTAGACCAGTCTTTAGTGTCTACAAGTAGACCAGTCTTTAGTGTCTACAACTAGACCAGTCTTTAGTGTCTACAAGTAGACCAGTCTTTAGTGTCTACAACTAGACCAGTCTTCAATGTCTACAACTAGACCAGTCTTCAATGTCTACAACTAGACCAGTCTTCAGTGTCTACAACTAGACCAGTCTTCAGTGTCTACAACTAGACCAGTCTTTAGTGTCTACAAGTAGACCAGTCTTTAGTGTCTACAAGTAGACCAGTCTTTAGTGTCTACAACTAGACCAGTCTTCAATGTCTACAACTAGACCAGTCTTCAGTGTCTACAACTAGACCAGTCTTCAGTGTCTACGAGTAGACCAGTCTTTAGTGTCTACGAGTAGACCAGTCTTCAGTGTCTACAAGTAGACCAGTCTTTAGTGTCTACAAGTAGACCAGTCTTTAGTGTCTACAAGTAGACCAGTCTTTAGTGTCTACAAGTAGACCAGTCTTCAATGTCTACAACTAGACCAGTCTTCAATGTCTACAACTAGACCAGTCTTCAGTGTCTACAACTAGACCAGTCTTCAGTGTCTACAACTAGACCAGTCTTCAGTGTCTACGAGTAGACCAGTCTTCAGTGTCTACGAGTAGACCAGTCTTTAGTGTCTACGAGTAGACCAGTCTTCAGTGTCTACAACTAGACCAGTCTTTAGTGTCTACAACTAGACCAGTCTTTAGTGTCTACAAGTAGACCAGTCTTTAGTGTCTACAACTAGACCAGTCTTCAATGTCTACAACTAGACCAGTCTTCAGTGTCTACAACTAGACCAGTCTTCAGTGTCTACGAGTAGACCAGTCTTTAGTGTCTACGAGTAGACCAGTCTTCAGTGTCTACAAGTAGACCAGTCTTTAGTGTCTACAAGTAGACCAGTCTTTAGTGTCTACAAGTAGACCAGTCTTTAATGTCTACAACTAGACCAGTCTTCAATGTCTACAACTAGACCAGTCTTCAGTGTCTACAACTAGACCAGTCTTCAGTGTCTACAACTAGACCAGTCTTCAGTGTCTACGAGTAGACCAGTCTTCAGTGTCTACGAGTAGACCAGTCTTTAGTGTCTACGAGTAGACCAGTCTTCAGTGTCTACAAGTAGACCAGTCTTTAGTGTCTACAACTAGACCAGTCTTTAGTGTCTACAAGTAGACCAGTCTTTAGTGTCTACAACTAGACCAGTCTTCAATGTCTACAACTAGACCAGTCTTCAGTGTCTACAACTAGACCAGTCTTCAGTGTCTACGAGTAGACCAGTCTTTAGTGTCTACGAGTAGACCAGTCTTCAGTGTCTACAAGTAGACCAGTCTTTAGTGTCTACAAGTAGACCAGTCTTTAGTGTCTACAAGTAGACCTGTCTTTAGTGTCTACAAGTAGACCAGTCTTCAATGTCTACAGCTAGACCAGTCTTCAATGTCTACAACTAGACCAGTCTTCAGTGTCTACAACTAGACCAGTCTTCAGTGTCTACGAGTAGACCAGTCTTCAGTGTCTACGAGTAGACCAGTCTTTAGTGTCTACGAGTAGACCAGTCTTCAGTGTCTACAAGTAGACCAGTCTTTAGTGTCTACAAGTAGACCAGTCTTTAGTGTCTACAAGTAGACCAGTCTTTAGTGTCTACAAGTAGACCAGTCTTTAGTGTCTACAAGTAGACCAGTCTTTAGTGTCTACAAGTAGACCAGTCTTTAGTGTCTACAAGTAGACCAGTCTTTAGTGTCTACAACTAGACCAGTCTTTAGTGTCTACAAGTAGACCAGTCTTTAGTGTCTACAACTAGACCAGTCTTTAGTGTCTACAAGTAGACCAGTCTTTAGTGTCTACAACTAGACCAGTCTTTAGTGTCTACAAGTAGACCAGTCTTTAGTGTCTACAACTAGACCAGTCTTTAGTGTCTACAAGTAGACCAGTCTTTAGTCCTCTCATTAAAGTTGAAAACTCCCAGCCAGATCTTACACCCCGCTGAACAGAACCATCGGTGTACACTACTGCATTATCTAGCCCAGCCTTTCCATCTATCAGTTGTTGTACCTCTAATTCTGCCATACCGTTACACCACTCTCTACATGCTGTTCCTAAAGTGATAATGACCTGATGGAAACCGCTATTGTGTGTGTTCAAGTCGATCTATTCCTGCCCTCTGTGTGTTTGCTTAACGAGGCCGGCGTCCCGATTGTATCTTCGGCAAGTGCTGTCCATGACTGTCCTCTTTTCAACCGGCTCCCTCCCAGATATTTGATACTGCCATGCAGCGGATGCCGTAGTTACATAACAGTACCGTGGAGCCAGACCTACAAGTCAAACGGTCGTCAAACAATGCAAAGGCTACCGTTGTTGTAGGAAGCAGATGGTGACAACGAAGCCAGCAAGAAGTTTACTGTCGGGGCTGGCCATGGATGCAGGTTGTGTGAACGCGCAAGCCGACACACGGCTGTAGAGACACCCTAGCTAGGCTGTGAGCGGTACCGGCACCTGTCATGTTGTTGTGCACACCAGTCATCGATTGTCAGCTGGTACAAACAGATGGAGCACACACCAAGTATCCAACACATCCCAGTCTGGCCACGTGTTCTCGAACATGTTGTATTGGATGTTTTTATCGTTGCCCTGATCATAATTTTATATCATCATCCTGATTATTCTCGCCATCTATGACCCTGTTCCACACCGCGCATGCATTCTGGGCATACAAGGCGATACCTATATTTTACAGACCAATCAGAACTTGTGGGTTTATGTGGTCGAATTAAACGCCGGTCGCCTTTATTTCCCAGGACGTTACCTGGTAAACAGTTAAGGCTAGGTCGACCTGGCAGCTAAGCTCATTTTTGTTGTTGAGAAAAAAGGCTAAATGTCCGGGACAGTTCGGGTTTGAACCCAGCCCCTTCGGATCCATTGTTAGCGATAAGCTGCTACACCAGACAGTTCTCATTATAGTCGTTATTATTATTATTATTATTATTATTATTATTATAATTATTATTAATGCTAATATTATTCAGTGCTCATTGGTCGAGACACACAATGCTCTGTTATCATCATCATCATCAACATCATCATCATCAACATCATCATCAACAACATTATCATCATCAACAGCATCATTATCATCAACAACATCAACATCATCAACAGCATCATTATCATCAACAACATCAACAACATCAACATCATCAACATCATCAACATCATCATCATCATATAGCCTTTCAGTTTGTAAGTCTTTGTATCTGAATTCTCTGTTTTACCGGAAACATCAGCCGCCAAGTTCAAGGACAACTGCAGAGTTCCGCTTCCTGCCGCAATCTTGCTGTTGTGGAAGAGTGTACCTGAACGCTTTCCAGATTTCTGTGGGCCCTTGGTCATGAGCCAAAACTGAATCAAGCTGGGTCTGGGGTCCATCAATTGATCATGATACCAGCGGGGTCTGGGGTCCATCAATTGATCATGATACCAGCGGGGTCTGGGGTCCATCAATTGATCATGATACCAGCGGGGTCTGGGGTTCATGCGGGGTCCTGGTCCACATGATATTTGTTGGATTGAGAATCTTGTCAAGATCTTATAGTCACACCAGGTTGGGAATCATGGTCAGTGTTATCACACCAGGTTGGGAATCATGGTCAGTGTTATCACACCAGGTTGGGAATCATGGTCAGTATTATCACACCAGTTTATGAAACATGGTCAGTGTTATCACACCAGGTTGCGAATCATGGTCAGTTTTATCACACCAGGTTGGGAATCATGGTCAGTGTTATCACACCAGTTTATGAAACATGGTCAGTGTTATCACACCAGGTTGGGAATCATGGTCAGTGTTATCACACAAGTTTATGGAACATGGTCAGTGTTATCACACCAGGTTGGGAATTATGGTCA